AAATCGATTAAAGTAAACTATTGGTAAAAAAAATAATTATAACAGTAAAAAGAGAGAGCAGCATATTGATCAACTATAAAGGGACAGCCTAAATATCACAAAGTGGCATAAAATGCATTCTTGAGCAATACAAAATACTATTGGTTCACAAATTTCACGTTCGTAAGTATTTGTCTACTATGTTTGAAAGGAACCATTCTTCAGTAAATTTCAGGTGGTCGCCATCAATAGCCAGGCGATGTAAACGGCCACTGTCAGCTAGACGTTTCAATCCAATCCGATCCTGAACCAAACAGGAGTTTTACTGAGTATTTAAGAAGAGTATAGAAAAACAGCTATAAGAAAGCAATTTATATCATTACCTCTTTGTAAATGGCACTTTCTTCCAGTGGTTGTATTTCTACTGCTTGACCAGGTGCGTAAAACTCAAACCATTCAGAGGCAACTGGTAGAACCATAGAATCATTGTTGAAGCGAACCAGTACAAATTTCTCCAGTTTAGCTAGATTTGTAGCATAACTTGTATTACGAGGAGTTCTCTCATTGTTTATGTCTGCAAGGAATAGGCTGTGCTCACGATACTCATCCAGGTATCTCGGATCATGCCAGTATTGAGCTTGCACCAAGCCTTTCTGTACCCATCTAAAAGAGCAACAACAGCATTAAGTATTTTGCAAATAGTACTTGTCACAAGCCATAATAGAATAGTTTTCATACTTAGAGTAGGCTCCTTGGGTTAGTATTCTGCGTACATAATCACACCATGAATGTTGTGGGTACTCGCAGTGAGGTAAGCCATACACGCCTTGGTGCTGTCCTCCTAATGAAATGAGAACACGCATCTGTGGAGAAGGGCATCGCTGGGCAACAGCTCGCCTATAATTAAAAACAATTTAAATTAACTAAACCTGGGAAAAAATTAGAACAGAATACATTAAAGTATTCTAGTATTTCTTACAAGAATTGAGATCCTTGAGAAAATCCAATGGCATGATAACCATTTTGTAACTTTTTATCATCTGCAATTAGTCGGCATGCTTCTTCAACTTGACTATTGACATTGAGGAAAAATCCATTGTAAGTATCCTATTGGAAAAACATAGGTGAAGGACTGAAATTTGTGGGGACTTTGAGCAAACGCGCAATTAGTATAATGAAAGATGGTTCACCTCGAGGAATGTTTCGCCTATTTGAAGTGATTTCACGTAGACATTACCAAGATGGGCCTCCAAAATTGATTTCAAATAACCCAAGCTGAGAGGGTTACAGCAACTGTCTCCTGCAAACAAAGAATATGTCTATTTAAACTAATACTACCTCTAACCTATTTCTACATAGTTAATGCTTGTTTTATAGTAAACATGTTTAGCTCCTAAAATGGAAACGGATCCAGATAGGTACCCCTGAGTAGCATCTGAATAACGACTGACGTAATGAATTAACATTAACAGAAATGAATAGGATACGAACCCATTCCATGCCAAAGAACGATCGGGACCTGCGCAGTATCTTTCGAAATGACTGTCAGAGAAAAACATGCTTGAAGAATTAGTACTTCAACAAGTACACCAAACGTGCGTCCAATATACATGATTTATTCGCTGCACATGACAGGTACCAAGGAAAAGAAAGACAACTACGTCTTTGTTTTGGAATATCAACGTCACGCCAAACGTCAACACAAAACAACACTGACAGACGCCGGCGATACAACGTAACCGTAAAGTTCTCATCTTACTTGGTTGATGAGTATTCTTATTGCTATTGCAGTTGAGAAGAACTGAACTGCGTTCCTTATCTTGAAGGCTTGAACTCAAGATGGATATTTATCCACCTTCCTTGAACTTGACGCTTTCTATCTCTTCTTAATTTAGCAATGATGCATGATGACTACATAGCGTCAGGGGCTGCCTGACGCCTGACAGGCAGATATTTCTCGTAGAAAGTCAGCCTATGGGACTTCCCTCCATGGATGCAAAGTTTCACAGAATTTATTTTTACGTGTAGTGTTGTGATTAATAAAAGTGTAGTGCCTGCCAACGCAATGCCAAAGCCATGATACTTGAGAACTGTGTTTTAATTTATTTTATTTCATAATTTAATTTCATAAGACATCATTCATAGTTCACAGCGAGACACCTTTTGTGCTACGCCCGGGCACCATCCGTTGCCAAGCAGACGTATATGGGCAGTTTGACGGGGGATGTCAACGCTGCGGTCTCCCGCGCCTCGGTGCACAGCCGGCAGGACTCGCAGTCTGCCGCAGAGTGGCTGGCGAACAAGTAGACCTGCTTGGCGGCAGGGAGGCCGGGGCTTGGCGTGAGTGCGGGACGGACCACGTGGAGCTGCGTCGCGGAGCGGACCACCAGCTCCCGGAGCGCGGCGCGCCGGCTGTCTGCAGAAGGGAGAGGGGGCCGGGTCAAGGGTCGGCTCACGGTGAGGGCGGACGAGTTCAAAAGCGTAGTACACTCACACAAGTTGTTGGCGGGACAAGGGTCGCACAGGATGGTGAGCAGGCAGAGGGCCGGCAGGGCAGCGGCGGAGATGTCGCGCAGGACGTCGGGCGGCGGCGCGGTGCGCAGGACGAGCGAGCGCAGGCGGGGCAGGGCGCGCAGGGCGGCGGGCAGGACGCGCAGCGCGCCGGCCTCCGCCAGGTCCAGGTGCAGGTGCGAGAGGCTGGTGAGCGCGCCCGCCCCCACGGCGCGCACCGTCCTCTCGGTGCAGAGCGGTAGCTGCAGAGCCTGCAGCGGCCCCGGCCAGGACGCCAGCAGAGCGTCCACCTGACAGGGGGTGGTTAAGGACGAGAGGAAAGCTGGTCATGCAGCTAGGACGGGCCGTGTCTGCTCACCTCTGACTCGAGCTCCACGGTCGTGCGGACGATCTTGAGCTTCCGCAGGTCGCGCAAGTGCCGCAGCCCCGCGGCCAGGCCGGGGCCGGCCGGGGCCGTCAGTCGGGGGAGGGCGCCGGGGCACAGCTCCAGGAGCGGCAGCAGCGCGGCCAGGCGCAGCGACACGCAGCGCAGCTGCCTCCTGCAAGCAAGTGAGTCACGGGTTCGACAGTCGAGCACGGCAAAGGGATTTTAGTACGAGCAGTGTTTTACCTGTGCGCCTCGAGCAGTACTCGCAGGCAGGAGATGTTGAACGCGGACGCGCCGGGCCAAGCCGGGGAGCAGAAGGGGCAGCTGGCCACATCAAGCTCCACGGAGCACAGCTTTGGCAGCGGCGAACTCTGTTGGCGCGGAGAAGGAGTGGAGTGAGAGCGCCTCGCGGCAGACTGACCCGCCACGTGGGTACGCCTGCGCGCCGGGCGGCCTACCGCTGGTCGCGCGCAAGTCACGACCCTGACACATGTGCTCACCTGCGGCCACCACTCGTCCAGCGATGGGGGCGGTTGTATCTCGCTCATCCAGTCCGACTTCAAGCACAAAGTTTGCAAGGACTTGGCCGTCCGCAGGCCGTCGAGAAGTGGAAAGACGGCGGCAGAGCAGTTGTCGATGATGAGGTGCCTCGTCCGCGGCCCGAGCAGCCGGATGATCCTGACGGCGTGGAGTCCGCTGGAACGCCAAATGGGTGCACTTGATTCCTCGGCGCATTGCAAAAGTCTATAAAAGGGCTCAAATTTTGTGATAGTAAAAGAAATGGGTTTTATCTACCTTTTATCTTCATCCCCGCTTTTGCTAGGGCAAGGCGCGTAGCAGACCACTGAAACGACCAACTTTTTGCTGGAGAGGAAATCTATCAGTAGAAAATTTTGGATCTTGTCGACGGGTGGGGTTCGCGTGCCCTGCGCGTCCCCTTGGCCCCCACGTCCTTCCTCGGGCGCAGAGGCGGGTCCACGACGAGCACTGCGGGGATTGACACGTGCGTGTGCTACCCTGAGCTCCAGGGTGTCCCAGGGCGGCGCGGCTCTCAGCAGGTCAACGAGTGCACCAGGGTCCTGCAAGCGGGCGCGCTTGCCCCGCCACAGCGACCGATGGGACCTGGTCAGCGCGCGCAGCCGGGTGCAGACCCGCCCGACGGCGCCGAGGTCCGCGGCCGGCAAATGCGACAGCACCCCGAGTAGCGGCACGTCAGGCAGCGACGTCAGCGCCTGCACACAGCCACAGTAGTGCGAATAAGGGAGGGGAATACCCGCAGACTGCGGATAATGCATCCAAAACAACAATATTACCGGTTCATCCAGCTCATCCGCCAGTTGATCCGTACCATCGAGCGATGTTATTTGTTTTTGGTTGCAAGCCCGCTGAGAAAACATTTGCATACCTTCTAGACTTTCTTGTATGTACGTACACACACACGTTTGTTTAGTTTAAAAGCACCTCTTCTAACCTATATGCACAAACCAAGGTAAGTGATAGAGCATCATTATAATGCCATCGAGACCGATATGTGTTCCAATTACTACCTTACACACACGTACCATGGGATCCGGTTATTAATTGGGCTGACTCATAACAATTTCCCTTATCGTTAGAGGCAGCACGGAGAAAATCAGAGTCATCAGAGTGTACAGTTGTAACCTTTCAGCTGTCAAGCCGTGGAGCTTCGCGGAGCGCCCGCATCGCAGCGCGTCTGTAGCGTCGGCTGCACATAGTCGCAATGCACATTCGCTTGAACGAACAAGACATTCGGCCGGCTCGACATTGACATTCGGACATAGATTAAGAATTGTATTTTTCAAAAGAAATTTCCTAAATTATAACATGAACACCCACATTCCGTGCTATTACTTCAGCTTAATATTAAATGAAATATCCCTTTGTGTCGCCGACTCCCCCTAAAAATCCAATAGAGCATGTATAAATAATCAAATATAATCAGACTCGATCGACTCGATCGGCCGGGGAATGACCGGGCTAGAACTGGGTAACGTAAATGGAACCAGACGCCAGGGTATAGGGTGGTTGGAAAGTGCACTGATACTTAAGAATTCTCCTTTAATACATTCATTATACAAAATTGCACATTAAACTCATAATCAGGAACATGAACTTACTCTAACTACACATTACTTAAAAAATACTGTCACAGTCACAGCTTCCTGTTGGAAGAACCAGATTGGATAAAGGTGCCAAAGGAAAATGATAGCAAAATAAGATATCTTACTGCATTTTAGCACCATTAGAGAAATATTCTATGAAAACAGAATTACCATCACGAAAGTATGAAAATATTATTTCTTAGGACACTAGTATAAAAAGGAAATAACTTAGGAAAGGAATCACATTTTCAATCATAAAAAATATAGACTTAGACTTGTCTTCAAAATTGTGTGTCAATACTGGGAAGTTGTTATTTCATTTGTCTCTTCAACTCTTTGCCGACAAAGCTTGGTCAAGAATTGGTGAATGAGTGGGCATGGCACAAGAAACTAAATACGAGAATCTTAAAATAACACAGCCTGGTGCTTGTCAAAAGCTCTCTGGTCGGGTCCCGAATGTCACGGAAACCTATATAACAGTCCCTAGTCATTTCATTCATCAATTCGTTTGTTCATTCATCCATTAACAAATATGTTTCCGATTAGATCTTGAGCATGACCGTTATGCCAATAACAGTGGTAGAGACCCTGTCTGATAAGTATTCCCTTTCACAGGGGATGTCATTGCGTTCAGTCAAAACATTCAGCAACAAAAAATTAACATTTAAAGTAAAGTCTGACTATAAGGCACTAGAATGGTTGAGAGCACTTTTAAATTCAAAGGGTGGCGGCCCTGTTGGCCGTCGCGTTGTGCACGCTCCAGCTGCGCCCGAGCCTCCGCACAGGGTAGGCCTTGTCCTTGCAGTCCTTGGAGGAGAGGCAGCCGTTCCTGGCCGCGGTGCAGCGGAACAGCATCGCCTGCAGGGTGCTGTACGGCACGTTGGGGCGCCGGGGCTGCCGGGGCGCCGGGCCGAGGGCGTCCTCGTCGTGGTGCAGGTGGTGGGGGTGGTAGTGGTGGCGGCGGGAGCCCGGGTACATGAGCGACATGGTGGCCCTGCGCCGGGGCTGGCACGAGGAGGCCGCGGGCGCGGGCGCCGCCTCGGGGAAGGCCATGGGGTGGCCCCTGCGTCGCGGCAGCGGCGGCGCCCAGTCCCAGTCGTCGTCGCTACTCGCCGACGTCGCCGAGGAGGCCGAGGCAAGAGGGAAGGCCGGCAGGCCGCGGCTTGACGTCGCCGTCAAGGGAGGAGGAGGCGGCGGCGGCAGGGCGGTGTCCACGGCGGCCCGCGGCACCGGCTCGGCGAGCTTGGCGTGCTGGGCACGGCGGCGGAGGCTGGCGCCGCCTCCTTCGCCGCTGCTGCTATCGCCGCTGCTGCTGCTACTACTGCTCGGCATGTTGTGGCGGCAGCGGCGCCTGGTGATGGCCGGTCTGGAACAAAGAGACGAATCGGTTGGTATACAAGTCTATAAACGTCAATCGGAAACGCAGAGAATCGCAGCTTTAGCCGCGCCTTTATCAGCAAACAATGACACAATATTGTGACACTTTGATAAGAACTGCGTTTGCGCCGGTGCGTCGGCGTGCCGGATCGGCTGCTAGACCGAATCCCTCCCGACGCCGACGCCACACGGACAGGCCCCGCACCCCGACCTTTCCAACGCCTGCGGGCCACGCACGCCGCCGCGCCACCGCCACCGTGTACCTAGTCCAGGACAGCGCACCCTCCCCCACGGCGCCCGCAACGCGCCCTCGCGACAGAAGTTTCATGGTTTGACATCTCCTTGACATTTCCCGTGTATCGTCAAACCCCCGCCACACACCACCCCCTTTCCTGCGGCTGAGCTCCTCTACCACCACCCCCTAAAAAAAACATTTCCCCTCCTACTCGTCCCGGGGGTCTGTCACCACTTTCCCTCCAGACTAATCCGGGGAAGCAGAGGGACCCGGGGCTTGGGGGGAG